ACTGACCCAACTGTGTCAGGAGGGTGGTGATAAACAATCATTTGAAGCATTTTTTAAAGCCCAACTGCATGTAACTGGACATGAAAGTAATGTTGCTTTGTATAAAGATTTGCTGTTAGCTTACATTGAATTTTGCATTCAGCATAATTTTCCAGCTGCAGGTTTATTATGTGTTAAATCATATCTGAAGGAATTGAGGGTTGTTGTTCAAGAGATGAGTGGGTATAAAACTCTGCATTATTCTTTTGCTTGGCTACAGCTGTTGAACCTAAGAGTTCATCATGACAACTATCAGAGTTCATTGCAAAAAAACTTTCATCAACAAAAAAGAAACCGAGAAATAATAATATGCCAGATGTTCAGCATCTTCAAACAAATTCTTCAGTTAGTGTTTCTGTTCCTGGAAGTTCTTTAGATGATGATGGCCATGATGATAAGATACAGTATAACACTGACAACTTAACTTGTCAAAGATCCTCAATATTCAGGTTTTTACTCTTGAAGATTAAGATAACTGATGAGGAAAGTGATACTGTTTCACAAACAGTTTTTCTTAAAGCCTACAGTGATTTTTGCTGGAAAAATAATCTATTTATTGCACCTTCTTATTATGTACTCAAATGCATACGAGAGGGATATACGGTAGTTTTAGTGTCGGTGTTATATTTGTTTAATATATGCATGAAAGAAGAGAAGAGACTCAAGGATAGGCAGAGAACATGCATAGTTCATTTATATAATGGGAAGAAAGTGGACAAGACTGAGTGACAATTATAGGGAAATAAACCTACCCTCATCACCTTACTCTTTTCCATGTTCACTTTCAACTTTCTACCTTTACACATTATGGAGTGTATATAAAGGCTTAATTTAGTTACATATAGAGATGTAAATTAATTTCATACTATAATCATATATGAAAATTTGTTATAATAACATGAAATCACTATTATAATGAGGTTACATTAAATATTTTACAACAGCATAAGAGTGAAATAAACAATATATAAAAGCAAAGAATTCCTGAATAGTTTAATTTAATAATAATAATAATAATAGGGAGAGTAATAAATTACGGCCCCAACACATGTGAGAATCTGCAATGTCTTCATCTATGTAGTGTATAACTTATAAGTTTTTACTAATGAATTGGACCAAAGCTCCACTTCCTTGAATCAAGCCTGAATGCCTTCCATTACCCAAGGTGCTGTATGACCTTTACAGGTTTAGTACCCCCCACCCCCATGAATGCAATAATAATTATGGGTTTTTAATAACAAAGATAAGTCCATCCTATACCATTCACTTATATATCCATACCTCACCTATGCTATCTGTGCTTGGGGTTCAGCGCTGTATAGCCCTTGTGGCTTAGCGCTTCTTTTTTATTATAATAATAATAATGTGCTTGGGGTTCAACTGCAGCAACACACCTAAAGCCAATAATAACCCAACAAAAAGCCGCAGTAAGAATAATCCCTAAATCCCATCCCTGGCAACACCCCCCCCCCCCACTCTTCATAGATCTAAACTTACTCCCTGTTCAGAACATCCACACTTACTACTGTGCAATCTATATCTACAGGACCTTAAATTCCAATATTAACCTTGACCTAAAATGCTTTCTTGATAGTTGTGACAGAACCCACAGGCATAACACCAGACACAAACATCTCTATGACATTCCCCGTGTCCGACTAAACCTTTACAAAAATTCAATGTATGTCAAAGGCCTAAAATCTGGAACACCCTACCTGAGAACTCTAGAACTGCAGACACATTCATCACCTTCAAAACTATCATTAGAAAACATCTTATCTCCCTGATACACCCCGTCAACTAATTACACGAATACCTCCTGGTGGTTCACACTTACACTCACTCACCCATTTGACCATAAACAGAAATATTAATCTCAATCTTAAAATAATGAATCCTGTGATACTCCAATACTGAAACTATGTACTGTGCCAAAACAAAAGCATTCACATTGCTAAACTCACAAACTAGTATTTAGTCACTTAGCCATAATGCCAACTTACCTCATAATTTGTAATATTTTAAAATTAAGATTTAAGCTAAGTCTGCCCGAAATGCCTAGCCATGCTAGGTGTTCTAGTGGTACACTCTGTAATCATTATTTTACTACATGTAAACCACACAATAACCAAATTCTGTAAACTCAGCATTGTAATCCTTATAGAGAATAAACTTTGAATTTGAATTTTCAAAAACCATAACAACGTATCTACCTCATCCACTAGGAAAATGATAGGATGGATAATGAGAACCTTCAAAACTATGGACGCCAAGCCCATGATGATTCTCTTCAAATCGCTCGTGCTCTCTAGGCTGGAATACTGCTGTACACTAACGGTCACCTTCAAGGCTGGCGACACTTGCAGACCTGGAGAGTGTACAAAGAACTTTCACGCACACATAAGTGCGATAAGGCACCTCAACTACTGGGAACGGTGGCCTTGGTGGCTGTCCGTTCAAGTGATGTGCTGTGTTCATTGTGGCATTGAAGTTTGTGTGCTTACTCACCTGTTGGGTGCAGGTTCACCAAGCTGCAATGGACCGTGTCTTCACTGTGTCGCTACTAGGGTCAGATTACCCTGGACCGTAAGTTAACATACCTCATGCTACTGCTTTCGTAGGATCCTGCTGATACCGCTCCCAAACATTCCAACATACTTATCTTTATCTTATCTTATCTGTATTCTCTCGAACGCAGGCGAGAGAGATACATGATAATACACTTGGAAGGTCCTGGAGGGATTGGTACCAAACTTGCATACAAAAATCACTCCATATGAAAACAAAAGACTCGGCAGGAGATGCCACATTCCCCGATGAAAAGCAGGAGTGCCACGAGTACACTGAGAGACAACACAATAAGTGTCAGGGGCCCAAGACTGTTCATTTGCCTCCCAGTATACATAAGGGGGATTACCAATAAACCCCTGACTGTCTTCAAGAAGGCACTGGACAGGCACCTAGAGTCAGTACCTGACCAACCGGGCTGTGGTTCGTACGTCAGCTTGCGTGCATCCAGCAGTAACAGCCTGGTTGATCAGACCCTGATCCACAATGAGGCCTGGTCTCAGACCGGGCCGCGGGGGTGATGACTCCTGAAACCCTCTCCAGGTAAACTCCCCCAAAAAAAAAAAATCACAAAAAATCTAGGTGATGAAAGACTAGATATTAGATTGGAGGGAGGGAATTTGGAGGTAAATGTGTTCAGAAATTTGGGAGTGAACTTACTGGAAGATGGGTTTATAAAAAATGAGGGAAATCATAGATGAGGGTTGGTACACGAGTAAAAATAGTAGGTACAAAATAAAGTCACCAATTATGAAAAGCCCATTCACATCTTTAATGCAGTGTATCTATATAATTTCTTAACTGACACCAATTTGCTGAATTAATGGGGATGCTCAATGTTATCTGTTATTGCTATTGTTTTATGTCCTGCACCTCACCCCACTCTGCCATCTTACTTGTTATATAGTACTAAATGACCCTTACACATTTAGTGCTTTTCATGAATATAATAAATAGTAAGAATAATAATAAATACCTAACCAAACATAAATAATTCTGGCCTCTCAGTTGTTCAAAGTAACATAAAAACAATAATTATTATTATAATCAAAAAGAAGCGCTAAGCCACAAGGGCTATACAGCGAGAAAAAACAATAAGGAACCTACTTGATGTGTAGAGCTCAGCTCTTCAAGCTCACTATAAACGCCTAAAAATATATTTATCTTTGTGTGAACTTTGACTCACTTGCACAAGTTCCAAATTCAAGTTTCCTCCAGAGTTCTTATTTCTCACCTGCAGTTCAATAAGATATTAAGACTTTTTAAATATATAACTCCTTAATTTTAGTATGTACTGTCTGACAAATTACAGGTAAATTGTAAGTGTAATCACAACCATTTTCAATACTATACTGAAATCTACATTATTATAATCAAAAAGAAGCGCTAAGCCACAAGGGCTATACAGCAACACTGAAATCTACAATACATTAAAGAAACATTAAAATCGTAAGGGTAATAGATCATAAAATATTGATGTTAAATTTATTTTCTGCATAACTAAAACCTGAAATTACACCTACATCATGATCATCCCATTAAGGAGTCTTAATCTAAAATAAACTACTATATTTTTTTCTTCCTTAATCTTATATCTCAGAAATGCCTATCATATTGATAGCCATTACATTATTTATGACTTATAAGGAAATTTGTTTTTCTGCCCTAAATACCCCGGCATGATAGTGGCTTTCTTGTATATAACAAATCAAAATTGTAATTACACATTGTAACCTTTGCAAAGAAATAAAAAACGTTATTTTTAATCTTTATAATTATTTAAAACAGCTGTAATGAAAATGGTTATTGGAAATTGTGATTTAGAGCAAATTAATTGTCAGTTTGTATAATTTTGTATTATAATATGGATGAAAAAAAAAACGATAATTTGTTATGCACCGTAAGATAAATCGGGCAAAAAAAACATGACAGACATGTCTTCCTGAAGTGATTCATTTAAGTCTGACCATGACATGCTTACCATATCCGTCTTTATTATTACTGTATAATGTAGGATGTTTGAAGCATAACTATCTACTTCATGCCTGTTAAGGAATTAAACCTATTTTCATTTCCCTTGGATCGAACCTGATTGTCTCCCATTTCCCCAAGTGGTATAAGACCCCTACGGGTTTAGCGCCACCCCTCAACTGGATATAACAATAAAATGGGAAGTCAACATAAGCTGCTGGGCACAGTAAACAATGTGTCTCAATGTATGTACCAACACAAGCTTCATCAATCATAGACAACTTCTAAGTCATTTTTAGTAGCAAAAATATATAACGCCATCAAGGATAACCTTAAAAACCTATATCTTTTAATACCGGGTTATTTTTGGGGTGGACTGTTTGGTTGTACAGGATATTTATGATAATTGTGACTTGGTTGAGTGTTGGGAGGAGTGAAGAACATGTGTGTCACGTGTTTACTGAGGATGTATTAACCACACCCAGAGTGACTCAAATAACACTCACCATCACCAGCTGACACTTACTACCTCACACTGACACTGTCAGTAAGTGTTGTCAGCTGCCAGGAAACACACCAACACTGACATCAAGTATTGCGCCTACACTTCAGAACACTACTAACCCGTCACTACTGTTAACTAACAAGACTCTCCTTGTTGTCAACTACAAAAGCATTTCAATTAGTTGACAATGTATGTCACATTAACTCCATGTAAGACTACCATCATCTTACTGTAACTCATACCATGAACCTCACCATCACTAACATCAACTGACAGCTTCTACATCACTAACATCAACTGACATCACTACCACATTGTAGTGTTATCTACATAAAAGAAAACTTCATGGTAAGCTACATATATACGTATATCTTTGTATTATACAAATTTTGATTCATTTATAATTAATATTCTACTGTACAACTATGAAATAATTACTTTCCTACTGTACAACTATGATATACTACTCCTTAGTATTAAGTAGAATGTAAACCAATAATGTTAAGTTGGCCCATAATGCCCAGGCATAATAGAGACTCTCTTTGTATTGCAATCCACTATTGTATATATACAATCTCAATGTACTGTTTGCAAAGACATTAAATAAATAAATAAATAAACCATTATCAAACAGCTGCTGGCAAGTGGATGGGAACACCATGAATTTCCAGCTGTGGCTGTTGCTGGTGTTAACTTCAATATATTCTGGCTGGTGTGTGAGGATCCAGTCAGAAAACTACAATCCTGATATTGATCTGGATGTTGTAAGTGACAGTTTGCCATTATTGTTTCTTTAAGCTTAATCTATGGTGTTTGTTTCAACAAGGGCTAAATCTGCCTCTCATGTCACTATGGACATTGCACGTGTAGCATATACCTACTGTAATTTTTTTGATGTGATTGGTATGTTTCAGTTTCATTATCTACTTTTAATACAATAACACTATAGTAGTAATGCAATTTAAACCTTGAACATTAGAAGAACCATTATTCAGGGCAGACAGTTATGTTTCAAGTTATAAGAGCTTTGTTAATATAGTTTTTTTGAAAATAACCCTAATAGTATTTATTCACTTCAAAAATCTAATGTACTAACATTAAATTTGGGTTATTTTATTTTAATATTCTGAATTATTTCTTCAATGTTTTTTGTAACGGAGATGAAGCAGTATCCAAACTTAATAAACCAGTAGATATGACAGTGGTCTGCTAGTATCTGTTAGATCAGTCATTAACACTATATACAATGCTGTATTTTAAATTACCATGTATAGAATTGACCTCTGTGGTGAAGTAGTAAGTATCTGGCCTCTTATCATTGATTTGGGCTCTTTCTAATAGTGTTGAATGACCCCCATGGGCTTATTGTTTCTCATAAATACATGTATATAATAAATAATAATCAGTGCGGGTTGGTGAGTAGCCAGCAGCAACAGCCTGATCAATTAACAAAGAGACCTGGCCATAGGCTGGGCTGCTAGATTAGGAAAATGTCAAACATGTCAGGCAGATCCCAAATAATATGAATTACAATGTGAACTAAAATATTTTACATAAAAAAGCCCCTAGTTGTGCAATACATATCAAGCAAATAGGATAACTTAATATTAATACTAATATTAATCTAAAACTAAATGATTTAACCAGAATTATCAGGTATATGGATAGTAGCATGGAAATAGCAGACAGAAAAATCTTAATAAACATAAAAATAGAGGAGCATTGCAGTAGATTGACTGACTCATGCCAGGCAGTTACTTCTCAGACCTCTTTGGTTTTGTTGGGTTATCCTTGATTAAATCTTCATAATTTAAACCTATTATGCAACTTACTGTATACATACTGCCTATGTTAACCTAGTACCAAATAAGTACAGTCCTTGGATGTTAGCCAACTGATGAGTCATGTCCTAGGGGTGGACTTCTGTGCAAATAAGCAATCCCATATGACTCATAGTTGTCCAGTATTAATAACCCTAAGAATTCCTTTGCTAACATTCATTACGTATACAGTACTCTGGTTTATAAAGTATCAGGTACAGTCTTTCAAATAATAATAATTCCATGTAGTAAATTCCAGCTAATTTAGATTCAATGTTATAACCTGAGTAACAGCATAAAAAGTTCAACAGCCTGGTCTGATCAACAAATATGGATATCCAGTAGAAATACACACAGTAACAACTGATGATGGTTTTATACTGACACTACATAGAATTCCCCATGGTCGTGTGGGAACCCGTTCAGAAAACGAAATACAAACAAGAGAGCCGGTGTTGATGCAGCATGGATTGTTAGCATCGTCTTGCAGTTGGATACTAGCTTCTCCAGAAAAGGCACCAGGTGAGGCTGGTTTGCCAGATTTTCATTGGTATGCATTGATTGTAGAGTTGCTGTCTGCTAGCTCATTAACATTTTACAGACAAAAAATATCCTTTGTGTGAGTGCTGCATTTTCCTGTATTCTAATCCTATGAGACAACTTTGCCTCATTCTTCTAATTTGCCCCATTCCAAATTTTTTATTTTCCAGACCATGAGTAGTAATCAGGTACATAACCTCTTGTAAAATAATTTGTCAGTTATTCTCTTATGAATTTAACATATATTTCTGTATTACAGAACCCTGTTTTATAATTATCTATTGTATACCATATTTTTTCTACAGTACTGTACTTTTTGCACCTATGTAACATGTACAATAAAATAACCATTTACTGTATTACTTCTGTACACATAACCTTGATGTAAAATACAACCCAAAGGTGTGCTAGAAATTTGGTAATATAGACTTCCAGTGACCTATTAGAAACTGATGTCAGCAATTCTTTTCAATATATATTGCAGCATATATCATGGCAGATGCAGGCTATGATGTGTGGCTTGGAAATGCCAGAGGAAACCGGTATTCAAGAGCTCACACTCGTCTCTCACCTGATGAAGAAAAGTTCTGGGACTTTAGGTTTGACCTTTTTTTATATACAGTGTGTGTGTGTGTGTGTGTGTGTGTGTATTATATATAACATATACATATATATATATATATATATATATATATATATATATATATATATATATATATATATATATATATATATATATATATATATTATATATATATATTTTATTTATTTATTATTTTTTATTATCACACTGGCCGATTCCCACCAAGGCAGGGTGGCCCGAAAAAGAAAAACTTTCACCATCATTCACTCCATCACTGTCTTGCCAGAAGGGTGCTTTACACTACAGTTTTTAAACTGCAACATTAACACCCCTCCTTCAGAGTGCAGGCACTGTACTTCCCATCTCCAGGACTCAAGTCCGGCCTGCCGGTTTCCTGAATCCCTTCATAAATGTTACTTTGCTCACACTCCAACAGCACGTCAAGTATTAAAAACCATTATATATAATATATATATATATATATATATATAATATATATATATATATATATATATATATATATAGATATATATATATATATATATATATATATATATATATATATATATATCTTTCTTTCAACACACCAGCCGTATCCCACCGAGGCGGGGTGGCCCAAAAGGAAAAACAAAAGTTTCTCCTTTCACATTTAGTAATATATACAGGAGAAGGGGTTACTAGCCCCCTTGCTCCTGGCATTTTAGTCGCCTCTTACAACACGCATAGCTTACGGAGGAAGAATTCTGTTCCACTTCCCCATGGAGATAAGAGGAAATAAACAAGAACAAGAGCTAGTAAGAAAATAGAAGAAAACCCAGAGGGGTGTGTATACATATGCTTGTACATGTATGTGTAGTGTGACCTAAGTGTAAGCAGAAGTAGCAAGACGTACCTGAAACCTTGCATGTTTATGAGACAGAAAAAACACCAGCAATCCTACCATCGTGTAAAACAATTACAGGCTTACGTTTTACACTCACTTGGCAGGACGGTAGTACCTCCCTGGGCGGTTGCTGTCTACCAACCTACTACCTACGATATATATATATATATATATATATATATATATTATATTATATTATATTATATTTATTAACACATCGGCCGATTCCCACCAAGGCAGGGTGGCCCGAAAAAGAAAATCTTTCATCATTCACTCCATCACTGTCTTGCCAGAGGGGTGCTTTACACTACAGAGCCTGATCAGCCAGCAGCAACAGCCTGGTTGATCAGGCTCTGATCCACCAGGAGGCCTGGTCTCAGACCGGGCCGCGGGGGCGTTGACCCCCGGAACTCTCTCCAGGTAAACAGTTATAAAAGTGCAACATTAACACCCCTCCTTCAGGGTGTAGACACTGTACTTCCCATCTCCAGGACTCAAGTCTGGCCTGCCAGTTTCCCTGAATCCCTTCATAAATGTTACTTTTCTCATACTCCAACAGCACGTCAAGTATTAAAAAGCATTTGTCTCTATTCACTCCTATCAAATACACTCATGCACGCTTGCTGGAAGTCCAAGCCCCTCGCACACAAAACCTCCTTTACCCCCTCCCTCCAACCCTTCCTAGGCCGACCCCTACCCCACCTTCCTCCACTACAGATTTATACACTCTCGTAGTCACTCTGTTTTGTTCCATTCTCTCTACATGTCCGAACCAACTCAACAACCCCTCTTCAGCCCTCTGGATAATAGTTTTGGTAATCCCACACCTCCTAATTTCCGAACTATGAATTCTCTGCATTATATTCACACCACACAGTGCCCTCAGACATGACATTTCCACTGACTCCAGCCTTCTCCTCGTTGCAACATTCATCACCCATGCTTCACACCCATACAAGAGTGTTGGTACAACTATACTCTCATACATTCCCCTTTTTGCTTCCACGGACAAAGTTCTTTGTCTCCACAGATTCCCAAGTGCACCACTCACCCTTTTCCCCCTCATCAGTTCTGTGATTCACTTCATCCTTCATAGACCCATCTCCTGACACATCCGCTCCTAAATATCTGAATACATTCACCTACTCCATACTCTCTCCCTCCAATCTGATATCCAGTCTTTCATCACCTAATTCTTTTATTCTCATAACCTTACTCTTTCCTATATTCACTTTTAATTTTCTTCTTTTACATATCCTACCAAATTCATCCACCAACCTCTGCAACTTCTCTTCAGAATCTCCCAAAAGCACCGTGTCATCAGCAAAGAGCAACTGTGACACTCCCACTTTGATTAGTTTGCCTTTTAGATTAAGATAAGATAAGATTTCGTTCGGATTTTTAACCCCGGAGGGTTAGCCACCCAGGATAACCCAAGAAAGTCAGTGCGTCATCGAGGACTGTCTAACTTATTTCCATTGGGGTCCTTAATCTTGTCCCCCAGGATGCGACCCACACCAGTCGACTAACACCCAGGTACCTATTTGCTGCTAGGTGAACAGGACAACAGGTGTAAGGAAACGTGTCGAAATGTTTCCACCCGCCGGGAATCGAACCCGGGCCCTCCGTGTGTGAAGCGGGAGCTTTAGCCACCAGGCCACCTATTGTTTCTTACGTACAAAATAAAAAATAAGAAAGACTATTGACTTTATATTATTAAGTGGCTTTTGAAACTAGGTCTTGTCTTGAAGTACAAGTAGTCATTTTGTTGTTTGTTAAATATTTTACCCTTTGAAACCATCTACTGTATTTTATTCAGCTGGGATGAAATGGCATCTCTTGATATCCCTGCAGTCATTGATTACATCCTGCTCACAACTAAACATCAGCAGCTGTATTATATTGGACATAGTATGGGTAAGTACTAAATAATAAACTAAAAGCATCTTGATGTCCTTATAAGGCAGATCCTAAGTGCTTTATTTGTGTTATGTTGGTCTGTATTGCAACAATTTGAAAATACTGCAGTAGTCATCACCTGTATATTTACCACAGTAGGACTTGCTCTCTCATGATGCAATTTGATTATTGCATAATGGGCATTTTTAATTTACATAAATATTTCATAGGTTTTCTACCATGCTGTCCAAATAGCACTTATTTCTTGAACTTTTAACCTTAACCTGTATTGTTCAAGTCCAGCTTTTGATAGAATTTATAATTTTTTACTATACTTGTCTAAGTTTTTTGCTAAATTCATGATCTAAAACAGCATTGCATTTGTGAAAGTCTTTATTATTAAGTGGTTTGATTCCTAGTTTAAGCCTGCCAAAAATGCTATACATCCTGTTGAGCCTTTGAATATTTTTTTAACACTTGCGTATATTTTTTATTATGGTAATGTTTGCACAAAAAAGTAAATGTAGGTACAGTACCTTCTTACTGCATACCATTAATCTATACTGAAAGATGCCACATTTGAGAATGTAGATTAATATTAGTGTATAAAAATGTTGCAGGAACAACTATTTTTTTTGCATGCATGGCTACCCAAACAAAATATCAAAGTAAAGTGAAGGCCATGTTTGCCTTGGCTCCTGTTGCCAATGTGTCATACATCAAGAGCCCAATCAAGTATCTTGCTCCATTTGCTTCAGTTATTGAGGTTAGTTTTTGCTTTTCTTGTTTACTGCACTAATTTTTTTTCTAATTGTATTACATTTGTATTATTAGCAGTTTGGAGAGACTTCTAAACTGTCGTATCTGAGCGCCTCTGCAAAGACAGTGATTATATATGAGTGATGGTGAAAGTGTTGAATAATGAAAGTATTTTTTTTTTCTTTTTGGGTCACCCTGTCTTGGTGGGAAATGGCTGATGTGTTAAAAAAAAAAAAATGTATTATAGGGCAAACCAAAAAAGAACACACATTTTGTTTTTTCTTGCCCTAAGTTAGAAGTGAGGACCAAGCCAGATATGTTAAAGTGTCGGTCTAGACTATGAGTCTTTCCCGTATAAATAAAGATAATGCATGCCATCTTGAAGTGGTTTACTAGAGAGTGTAGCTTAAACAGGCTTTAAGGGTGTTTCTCACACCTTAAGCTTCATCAGCTCTTAATACCGACAGACTTTATGCTTTTCACAGACTCGACTCCACTGTAACTATATCCCTCGTTTGTGTAATTGCTCTGATGCTTCATAGTCTCTGTCAACTGTGGTAGGAAGGTAGCACACATATCCCACATCCAGTGTGTCAGACATGGTAGGCACATCCTACAGCCAATGTGTCAACCCTTGTGGTGAGGATAGCATGTATGTCCTACATCCAATGTGTCAGCCATGATGAGAGGGCAGGTAATATGTCCTACATCCAGTATGTCAACCATTGTGAGAGGGTAGCATACATGTCCTACATCCATTGTCAGTAATCCATGGCAGTAAAATTCTTCTCGCATCATATTGTTACATTAAAAATAGAGTGAAATCTTTAGTTTGTATTAGCAGGAATGTTGAAACATGAAAAAAAAACTGTTACCTAATAGCTGAGTTTTCATTGTTTACAAAGATTTAAAGGTAACTGGTAAGAGGATATAATAAAGAAAGCCTTATTAGGCCCTGGATAGACCAAAATGTTGTCTAATGTTTTCTCTCCAAATTGTGTTGTGCATTAATTTGGATGAGTTATAATTGAACTTTTGAACACTGCTCTCGAGTTCTGTATGTACATGCAATGAGAGACTCAAATAATTTTTTTTTTTTTTTTTTTTACAGAAACTTATGGAGTTGCTTGGAGAGTACGAGTTTCTTCCACATAATGATAATTTTACCAAGTGGAAAGAATACGTCTGTACAACTTATAACTTTGAAGAACTTATGTGCAGAAATGCTATTTTTTTCTTGACTGGATTTGATGCTCCACAGTTTAATTTGGTATGTATACAGTTTTTTATTTGGCCTTCTCTTATTTATATTTTTTGTGTATTGTACATGTACAGAAGAGAATACACATTTGAAAAACTTTCATATTGTAATAAAGTTGGTAAAATTACCAACAATGTGTAAAGTAAAAGGACACAAGTGCAACTAATGCGACATTTTTATTGTGGCAACGTTTCGCTCTCCAGGAGCTTTGTCAAGCCGTCACGGCTTGACAAAGCTCCTGGAGACTGTAATTTATCAATTACACAAAGTCGAGAATTAGCACATTTTCACTGATAGGGAGCACTTCGTGGTTTCTCTTAGGCTTTGAAGAACTACTGCCATCACTATTTTTGTGCTATGGAGTCATTATAAAGCAAAATTAAGGGTTATTTTCAGGCCATGGTAAACTATGGATAACAAACTGCAGAAACTGAATCCATGGATATGGGGGTTCTAGTGTACTAGGTTTGTCAGTTAATGGAGCAAAGGTTGTTATAATTGAGATGATTTTTAATAAGACAACATTTCTTGATATTCTTTGCAGACTTGGTTACCTGTCATTCTCAGCCACAACCCTGCGGGCACATCTGTCCGAACTGTGGCTCATTATGCTCAACAGTATAATGATGGTTTGTAATGCATCTGATTCTGCCTGTACCTTTCTGTCTATATATTCTGCTTTTGTACAACACATTGGTAATATAGAAGCCTCTACAGGTAGCATAATAGTAATTTTCAACCTATAATCAGCATGAGAATAATAAGAAAAAATTTTGGAGTGAGATAAACAAGATAAGAAAGCCTAGGGAATGAAGGATTTGTCAGTTAAAAACAGTAGGGGAATTAGTAGATGGGGAGCTGGAGGTATTAGGTAGATGGCAGGAATATTTTGAGGAAAAAGTAAATGTCAATAAAGAAAGGGGGCAATAATTTCATGCACTGGCCAGGGAGGTATAACACCTTTTAGTAGTGAAGAAGAGGAAGATGCGAGTGTGAGGGAGGTGTGTGAGGCATTACAAAGAATGAAAGGGGGGATAAACAGCTGGAACTGATGGGATCATGACAGAAATGTTAAAAGCAGGGGGAGTTACAGTATTGGAGTGGTTGATATTTTTGTTTAATAAATGTATGAAAGAGGGAAAGGTACCTAGGAATTGGCAGAGAGCATGTATAATTCCTTTATATAAAGAGAAGGGGGACAAGAGAAAATTATGGGGGAATAAGCTTGCTGAGTAAACCAGGTAAAGTGTATAGTAGGGTTATTATTGAAAGAATTAGGGGTAAGACAGAGAGCAGGACTGCAGAAGAGCAAGGCTTTAGAAAGGGTAGGGGATGTGTAGATCAGGTGTTTACATTGAAGCTTATATGTGAACAGTATTTAGATAAAGGTAGGGAAGTTTTCATTGCATTAATGGATTTAGAAAAGGCATATGATAGAGTGGATAGGGGAGCAATGTGGCAGATGTTGCAAGTGTATGGAATAGGTAGTAAGTTACTAAATGCTGTAAAGAGTTTTTATGAGGATAGTGAGGCTCAGGTTAGGGTGTGTAGGAGAGAAGATTACTTCCTAGTAAAAGTAGGTCTTAGGGATGTGTAATGTCACCATGGTTGTTTAACATTTATAGATGGGGTTGTAAAAGAAGTAAATGCTAGGGTGTTTGGGAGAGGGGTGGGATTAAATTATGGGGAATCAGATACAAAATGGGAGTTGACACAGTTACTTTTTGCTGATGATATTGTGCTTTTGGGGGATTCTAAAGAAAAGTTGCGAAGGTTAGTGGACAAGTTTGGGAGGGTGTGTAAAGGTAGAAAATTGAAAGTTAATATAGATGTAAGGTGATGAGGTTATCAAACGATTTAGATGAAGAAAAACTGGATATCACATTGGAGGGAGGGAGGGAGTATGGAAGAAGTGAATGTTTTCAGATATTTGGGAGTTGACTTGTCAGCAGATGAGTTTATGAAGGATGAGGTAAACCATAGAATTGATGAAGAAAAAGGTGAGTGGTGCATTGAGGTATCTGTGGCAACAAAAAAACGTTATCCATGGAGACAAAGAAGGGAATATACAAGAGTATAGTGGTACCAACCCTCTTATATGGGAGTGAAGTATGGATTGTAAATGCTGCAGTGAGGAGGCAGTGGAGATGTCGTGTGTAAGGGCAATGTGTGGTGTAAATATTATGCAGAGAATTTGTAGTGTGGAAATTAGGAGGAGGTGTGGAGTTACTAAAAGTATTAGTCAGAGGGCTGAAGAGGAGCTGTTGAGATGGTTTGGTCATTTAGAGAGAATGGAACAAAGTAGAATGGCTTGGAGAGCATATAAATCTGTTGGGGAAGGAAGGTGGGGTAGGGGCCATCCTGAAAAGGTTGGAGTGGGGGGGTAAAGGAGGTTTTGTGGGGGAGGGGCTTGGACTTCCAGCAGGCATTCGTGAGCGTGTTAGATAGGAGTGAATGGAGTCTAATGGTTTTTGGGACCTGACAAGCTGTTAGTGTGAGCAGGGTAATATTTTGTGAAGGGATTCAGGGAAACCGGTTAGCTGGACTTGAGTCTTGGAAATGGGAAGTACAATGCCTGCACTTTAAAGAAGGGGGCTTGGGATATTGGCAGTTTGGATAGACATCTAAGCTGTCGTATCTGAGCGCCTCTGCAAAGACAGTGATTATGTGTGAATGATGGTGAAAGTGTTGAATGATAAAAGTTTTTTCTTTCTTTTTGGGGGCCTCGTTCCTGGGCCTTTTGTGTATCCATATGCTCTTGCGCTACCGTCCACAGGATAGCTATGGGGTGCACAATAAACTAGCCACTTCGGTGGCAAAATCTTAAAAATCTAATCTTTCTTTTTGGGTCACCCTGCCTCGGTGGGAAATGGCCGACGTGTTAAAAAAAAAAATCAGCATGGTAGAAATATAAAAGTTACCAGCTGATGTGCTGGATAGTGCCAGGAGATTTTTACAGACAATCCTCAGTTAAGTACTACATATTTCAGATTGGTTTACTCAGTCCAACACATTATGGATTTACAGTAATATTTGTAGGCAAATAGGTACATGATTAAAAAATGCTTTTATTTCAGGGAAATTTGAGCATTATGACTTTGGAAAAGAAGAGAACATGAGACGATATCACCAGACAACACCACCTCTGTATTATCCAACACGTATCAAAGTTCCAGTTGTCCTTATGTCAGGAAAAAATGACTTTTTAGCTGATCCCAAGGTTGGTAAGAAATATCTTGCAGAAAAAAATACATTTTATAATTAAAAGCATTTTGCACTGTTCTGGTAACTCTGGCTGGTCACTTCAACTGGTGTTGTTCTCTTTGATCACACTTAACATTATGTAATGTGTGTCTCATTCTCAGTGCCATATTTTCTGGCACATAAGGCACATGACTGAAGTATCATAACAGTAAATCAGTAATCATATTCAAGGGCTAATTACCCTCTTACTTTATGCTAAAGCATAACCCAAAGCCTACCCTTGACCTTGAGCATATAAGGTGCAGGGTGATTTTCCAGGACTTTGAGGGAAAATACAGTAATTATAATTGTTATTGCATTCATGGAGAAGTGTTATATCTGCAGGGGTCATACAGCACCTGTGAGAATAGGAGGCAATCTGATTTGGTCGAAGGAAGGAAAAGCCATGTCCAGTTCTTTAAATCAAAGAGTCCCTCACCAACATCAAGGAACCTCTTTTGAGGGGACTTATTAAGCTCCAGCTCTTGATTAGTCTATTTAACATTTATAGCTTATTCTCAGTCTCCAGAGTGTTGCTATTTATGTATGTTAACCTACACAAGAATGTACATATGATTGTTTTGGTATGCAGAGTATATATAGAAAATTGTAAAATTACTAGTTCAGTCATGTACAGTTAACTGAAATTTAACCCTTTCAGGGTCAGAACACCTGATCTGAGACTTGCTTTCCATTTCAGAGAATTAAAAAATTCTTATGAAATGATAGAGAATCTTTTTCCAAGGGTAATGAAACAAAAAGTACGAAATTTGATGGAAAACCTGAGCAAATTTAGCAGTTTTGGCAATATTTACATATCGGCAATTTCGCTCACTTTGAGCCCTATTTTCAGCCTGTTCCATTGTTCCAGTCGAACAAACTCTCAGCTTTTTCACTAGTATTCCTTCGATTCTAACGATTAAGTACAAGAAACGGCACTTATCTATTTCAACTACCCAATAAAGTGATCAGAAATTGGTAATTTGGCTAATTCCACACACAATTAAAAAATATGGCTCAGAATAAACAATCTAGATATTCCTGGCACTAAAAAAAAAAAAAATTCCTCCGTTCATTAGTTATGTTTCCAGGCCTCGCCTATATTATGTTTGCTTTCCATTCTGAATACACAGATAACCTGCATATAGAAGAGAGGAGCTTACGACGACATTTCGGTCCAGCTTGGACCATTTGCAAAGTCACACTAACAGAAAGGAGAGAAGGAGGGAGTATATATAGGCCAACAGACAGGGACAGAAGCAAGAGAGGTAGTAGTGGAGTCAGTCAAATACACTAAGAAAGATGAGCACTGCCAGGAAGCTAGGGGCCCACAGAGGGTAGGAGCAAGAACACAGAGGGGGGGAAAATAATAAAATAATAAGAGAACAAATACCCAAGGCAGAAGAAAGAAACCCCAAAGGAAAAAGAGGAAAGGGGAAGAGGGAGAAGGGAAAAAAGAATCAGGTTAGGTCATTGTTGTTCTAAAGTTTGGAGCATTTTACAATGTTACGGGAAAGGAAGGCATCTACAGAGAGAAAACCAGGACTAAGATTCATACAAGGAAAGTTGTGTATAAGAGAGGATTCAACCAGATGGCGACTGTGAAAGTTAGAAGCAGGGTAGACAGTTATAGCAGAAGACCAGTCAGTAGGATGACTGTGATTTCTGACATGACAGGAAGAGCATTGTTGGTGTCGGGAAGCCTAACACCACTTTTGTGCTCCCTAAGTCTGTCAGAAAGAGATTGGCCAGTTTCTCCAAAGTACTGAAGAGGACAGAAGGAACAAGAGGTAGAGTAGACACCAGGAGCATCTGTAGAGGGAGGAGAGGTATGAGCTAGATTAATGCGAAGAGTGTTAGTCTGGTGAAAAGTAAGTTTGATGTCTAAGGAATAGAGAGAGTTGTTAAGATTAGAAAGACTGGAAATGTAGGGAAGGCAGAGGACAGGAGAGTTCACAGGAGTAGAGAGTTTAGGAGAGAAGAAAGTTCATTTAGCATATGAGAAGACAGTTCATTTAGCATATGAGAAGACAGTCTATGAAATGGGAAGGGTAGCCAAGATAGGAAAATGAATTATGAAGAGTGGAAATTTCCATTTAGTTGAATCCTCCCTTATACACAACTTTCCTTGTATGAATCTTAGTCCTGGTTTCATCTCTGTAGATGCCTTCCTTTCGCATTACATTGTAAAATGCTCCAAACTTCAGAACACCCGTGACCTAACCTGATTCTTTTTTCCCCTTCTCCCTCTTCCCCTTTCCTCTTTTTCCTTTGGGTTTTCTTTCTTCTCCCTTGGGTATTTGTTCTCTTATTATTTTATTATTTTTCCCCCTCTATGTTCTTGCTCCTACCCTCTGTGGGCCCCTAGCTTCCTTGCAGTGCTCATCTTTCTTAGTGTATCTGACTGACTCCAGTATTACCTCTTTTGCTCCTGTCCCCGTCTGTTGGCCTATATATACTCCCTCCTCCTCTCCTTTCTGTTAGTGTGACTTTGCAAATGGTCCAAGTCAGACTGATACGTCGTCGTCGTAAGCTCCTCTCTTCTACGTGTGGGTTATTTGTGTATTGTTCCAGTCACCATATTGTGCCTTTTTTTTTTGTCATCCATTTTGAATTATTATTCACACAAAAACTAGAAGAGTTACTGTTATGCACACTGCTGCATTGTTGTAATACTGTAGTTGTATACATAATGTCGGCACATTTGTGGACACGTATTAGATCAGCCAGTTTGACGCGTATTGGACGAGTAATGTAATTTGTGTACTCTGGAATATTAGCAAAAATCAAACTTTTCAGTTACTTTGAGCTCAATTTCAATCTGTTCCATAGTATATCTTCCATTCTTTCAAATGAGACCAAGAAACTGAGAAAGGGTTAACTAAATATTAATTCAGACAAATTCATTGTACATCATAATAAAAATTGTATTGTATATTTTTTGTTTCAGGATGTATCAAATCTTGCAGCCCACTTACCAAATCTTATCATCAACTATATAGTGCCCTTGCAAGATTTCAACCATATTGATTTTGTCTGGGGCGTTGATGCTGCTCAGTATGTGTACCGTGTCATTCTCAAGTACATGAAGTTTTTCTAGAGACAACGTTTCCACTTTGAAATTATCCTTCACATTTCATAATATAACAACAGAATTTACATTTGGAGTACAGAGAACACTATCTGCCACATGACTATTCACAGACCTCTTCATATTTTTGTGATGGAGAAGTGGTTTTATTACAGGCAGGAAAAGTTAATGTATTTGTGATTGATGCCAAAGAAGCATGCTTACTGCTTTTATATTTCTTCCTGTCATGACATTATTTCTTGCACCATTTTTGCCTTAACTGTTTTACCCTAAACACTTGTACAATCATGAGTTCTAATTATCTTTCAACAGCTACAGTAATTATACTAACAAAAAATCATGATGTTTTTATCCCAGATGATTGACATGCAGTCCAAGATCAGTCATTATTTCAAGAAAGCCAGTGCCATGCAAGATAAACAAGTGCATCTTCCTCATTCCTTGCCCCCTAGTGATTCCACAAGCATCCTTGTATTTGTATGCTGCTTGAGGTTATTTATAGTCATAACTGACAGAATGAGTCTTAGCAACTTACTCATGGATGTTTTGAGACAGTTAGTTAGTTTAATATGTTTATTATGCACCCCATACCCATCCTGTGGGCAGTAGTCAAAAGATTACAGAGGTACATAATGGGTCCAGGGACTGGGCCTCAAAGTTTTGATGGCTGAGCAAGTTACAGAGGTAATGAATTCACAATTTACAAAGGTAATGAACTCACAATTTACAAAGGTAATGAACTCCAGGTAGGTCTAGTTACAATCATGACAAGTTACAAAGGTATTAACAGATTATAGAGGTACACAATGGGTCCAGGGACTGGGCCCCAAAGTTTTGATGGCTGAACTAGGTACAAGGTAATGAACTCACAAGTTACAAAGGTAATGAATACTGTAAGAATGGTTACTTGCATTTATACATGGCTACAATCATGAACAAATTTTAGAGTAATGAGCAATTCAAACTTCCACACCCAGTCACAACTGTAGTGAGTTATTGGTGCAAATATTGATTGTTGAGTCACACACACACACTCCCACACACACACACACACACACACACACACACACACACACACACACACACACACACACACACACACACACACACACACACACACACACACACACACACACATACACGCACACACAAACACACACGCACACACACACACAGGAGCTTGGACTCGACCCCTGCAATCTCAACTAGGTGAGTGCACACACACACACATACACACACACACACACACACTCGCACACACAAACACACACACACACACACACGTGGTAATGCTTTATTTACAGCTAGCAAAGTCAGGGTATTTCTCCAGAATGGTCTGTAATATACCACTGTGGATAAAATACTTAGCCATTTCTTGAACACTTCTGAGTGAGTTGTTTCTAAATTCATTAATTTTATCGCACTCCAGTACATAATGATGCAGGGTGTGACAATAGTCCATCTGGCAAAGTTTACATTTCGTTTGGTCTACATCTGGTGGTGGTAATTTAACCTGCCAAAGATACTTGTAACCCAGCCGGAGCCGGGCAGTAGTGACATCCAAGAGTCTGCTTATTTTGTTGGATGCACCATAGACATGTGGCTCCTCCTGCATGATAGAATGATGATAGATGGACTCACTGGTGTCAATCTCCCTGAGCCTTAAGTCCATAAAATTCAGTTGAAGTTAGACAGAGAGAAAAAAATCTAGCTATCCTCCTCCTTCCTCTTTCTCATCATCTTGCATCCACTTTTTTGTCCTACCTCTTTTGTCTCCCTTAGTCCTCCTCCTATTTTAACCTCCTTTTCTATTCTTCCTCCTATTTTCTCATCTATTACCTTTTTGATACTATCTTTCCTTCCTCTTGTTTTCTTATCCTCTTCCTCTCACCACAAAATTACAGTTCTTAAGTGTTGAATAAGCACAAGTGTAGTGCTAACTTTGGTAGTAAGAGGAGCTTTTCATGCTTTGAGGCACATGATGTACTGCATCACTGATGAAGTGTTCAGTCTTGAGTGGACAGGGACCTAACTCCCAATATAAACTACAAATGTGGTATTCACATGGTGCTATGAATATGTGCAGATAGTAGGGGTTCCATTGTACATATGCAGTACTACTGAATGATCAGTTAGATAAAAAATTATGTTTGTACCTAATCGCTTGTTTGTATATAAAAAAAATCCAAGTTATTTTATTCATTTTTATTTATAAAAATGTGTTTAAATTTTTTGGGGTCTTACAATGCCCCCTGAATTATTTTTATGACAAAATTTTGCAAATTTTTAAATTTTTTGTGTTATTTTAAAAAATTTGCACCCCCAATACATTTTTATTGATTTTTGTCAGCACTGTATTTTGGGAGTGTTCAGGATCTGGTTAGTCAAAAAAACCAGTTGTGTTTTTTTCTTTTGAAACTTAATAAAAAGTTTGGGAAATTTTCATGAAAATAATCCCAGCAATAAAGCAAAGTTGAAACTGTAGGTTAAATTTAAAGAGGCTAGTTTTAAAGGGGTTAAAAAGTTCCAACCTTTTTTAAAAAAAGGGAACACATGTTCAGTATTTACAATGACAAGAATACATTTTTGTATAGTTTTTTAAAATTTTTTAATAGTTTTAACCCTTTTGGAAAAATAGTTTTTGTTTTAAAAATCAAAAGTTTTTTAGGGTTTTTCAGGGAAAAAGTTTTTAAAAAAACCCAAAATTTTAAACCTTTATTCGTTTTTTTTATCCTGTTCATTTTTTAAAATATAGGGGAAAGGGGATTTTTAAAATTTTTTTATCCAAAAATGTGTAGAAAATGATTTCTGCTTTATCATCAGACCTAAACCCTTTAAACACCCCATTTTCCCCGGGTTTGTTTCCCAAAAACGAATACATATATTTACCAGTTAAGTCAATAAAAGGGTTTGGGTGAAAAATGCAGGTATTGCACTAGGGGCCCCAAATCCCAAAAGGAGGGGTTTGTGTTTAAATGTTCCCCAGCATCAGTTTTAGCAGCTATTTTATCACAAAGTGGATGATTTTATGACTAGACCCATCTAGAAAAAGCTATGCCCCTCCCCCCACTTCCCAATTATTCTGTTTTTTTCTATCTTAGGGGACTCCTGTTTAATTTTTTCATTGTCATATCTTTTTATTTTTACTTACTTTGGTTTAAAATTCCAATTTAGAAAAATTTTGTTTTTGTAAACATTTAAAGTGTAGTGTCAGGAAAATCTTAACTGTACTTTAGTGCAATCTGGTCCGAAATAGCGGGGAACCAGTTTTTTTATTTCTCCGTTTGGGGTTCGTTGTTGAGACCTATCTTTACGTAAATTTTCCCCCCCCCTTTATAATCGTTTTTTGATTAATTTTATTTCCCTTTCAAAAGTTCATCATCAAGTACATTTTTTTTGTTCAAAAATCATGTTTTTGGAACTTTTCCCCCCCTTTCCCGCCCCAAAAAGGAAGGTGTTTGATACTAATAAGGGGAAAGGGCTCTTAAACCCGGGGGAATGGATTTGGGTCTTTCCCCTTTGGGGACTAAAACCGGGATTGCCCCCTTTTCCTCATGTGTTTTTAAAAATTTCTGATTATAACCCCAAATCCCACTTCCCAAAAAACTTTAAAAATTGCTAATTTCACTAATTAAATTTTTTACGGGGGAAAACTTGGTACTCGAATTAAATTTATCCGAAGGTGTTCGATTTCCCAAATTTTTTTTTTTCCCAATATTTTTTTTTTTTTTGTGTTTTCCCCAAATCTTGTGGGGCCCCCCAGGGTTTGACTTTTAAAAAAAAAAAAAAAATGCGAAAAAAAACATGAAATATTTTCCCGGAAAAATTTCTGGCAGGTTGTTTTTGTTTGGTCGATGCTGGAAAAATAGTTGACTACGGGAAGTAAATTTTTTTTTTACCAAAAAAAGTTTTAAAATACCAAATTTGGTTCAAGTCCCGGGTTCCACTGTTTTGTATTTTATAGGAGTAAAATTTAATTTTCTATAATATTCCCAAGGGTCTGTTTTAATGAAAGGTATGCATAAAAAAGGGGGGAAAAAACCCAAATTATTTGCATGGTGGCTCACCTATTTGTTTTTTTTGGCGGGGTTTAAATTCTAGACCCTGGCCCAGCTTTTTCCCAAATGCTTCAAATTCACCCCCTCATAGCCTTGTGGATGCTATAGAAATGCTTTTAAAAGAAAAAAAACTATTTTATGGAGCCGGGCCTCCATAAATTCCTCCCCCCAACATCTTTCCCAAACTTTTTAACCCATTTCTGACAGGGAAGAAATAAAATCTAACATCCCCTGGCTCATCTGGGGATTAATTTCCCAACGGGGTTTTCACGAGTTTTAGGAGAAAAGTAAATAAAAAAATTTGATTTTTAAAAGGAATGCAATTAGAAGCCTGAGTAGATCTAAAACCCCACGTGATAACATAAACGTAGTAAGTATGTTTTTGGAGAAACGTTGAAATGGAACGATGAGGGTTGTATTGGCCAGGCTTAGGTTTGGTTCAAGTACTTCTGGCATTTTGGGAGAAACAAGATTATGATCAAATAAATGTAAATTATGTGTCGGCTTTGGTCATGTCTTTGAACCTTTGTGCTTAATTGTCCACTTAGTGGGAATACAGAAAATAGCCGGTAAAATTAACAATGTAAATTTGTCAAGATATCTTATTAAAAAATTAGATCCCAAGAAAATACTAAGAAAAATTTCCAAATTTTGCGGGGAACGATAAGGGGAAACTTAGATATTTTAAAACCATTTTATCCCCAAAGTTATATTTACATTCTCTTTGGGAAACTCTTTTTGGCAAAACATATCAACTTTTTCAGGAAGGAGTAATCCAATGTTGTTTGGGATCCATAGCAATTGTACTTTAAATTTCCCTTTTTGTCTAATTTTGAGTATCTATACCTGGTTCTCCAAAGAGCATGTTGTTTGGGGGCATTATAAGAGTCAAAAGTCTTTTAAAGATGAATGAAATTTAGTTTAAGTGATAGAGTCAAAATCAGTGTCATAGGGTTGCTTTTTGCGCCATTGGAAATTTCAAACAATTCAGTTTGCAGTGTAGACGCCCCGTCGTTAATTCTTATGCTAAACCCCAACCCAAAAAAATTTTCGTTCTTTAATAGGGAGGGGGGCAAAAAAAGAGCAGAAAGCAAACCCTGCCAAAAAACTCCTGTTTTGATCCCTCAGTGTAAAATAATTTGTGATAACTTTTTACACCCGCTGGTGAGAAATTTTTTTTTGAGCAGTTGCTCTTTCCAAAAAGAATTTTAGGAAGGGGTTTTTCTAGCCTTTAGCTTCTTGGGAGGGACTTGCAGGGGATGTGATATTAAAAGAAACATCTTCCACGGAGGGGTGAAAAGTTTTTTTTTGCCCCGTGGAAAAGTTCCCCCCAGGTTTTAAAATTAATTTCAATTTAGTTTTTGCAATCCATTTTGATCTGTGTGTATTTACCTTGAACTTGGGAAGATTTTTTTATGGGAAAATGTCTGGTTTTGTTTCTCCAAAATTCTAATCCCCGGGGTTACAGTGTTAATTCAAAAAAAACCCATCAAATGATTCTGAAATAAACCCAAACTCCCTTCCCCATGTTAGAAAATTTTTTAAAATCTGGGACAGCCAAGAATAAACCTGGAAGCTTCATTTTGCATTAAACCCCAAAGGGTCGGAGAGAACTTTCTCTAGCAAAATCAAAATGGGGCAGCATAAACAAATTTAAAAAACCCCCCAGGCTTTTGAAAATCATTTTTCCGTTCTTATTAGCACCCTTTGTTGGGGTTGCCAGCATCAGCTTTTAGAAACATTTAGCTGTTTGCTTTTTATTTAGTTGGGTTTTAGTGGATTTGTTAAAGGGTTTCATTACACCTGGGTTTTCCGTAAGTTTTTAAAGTAGCTAATTTATTTTTACCCTGCAATTTGATGAGTGGGGGATTTGTTTGCTTATTAAAATCTTGTTTTAGAGGAAAATATTTTGAGGCCCAGTCGATTACAAAATTTCTTGAAAATTCATTTAAGGGAAAGGTATTGTGATGTTTGGGTTTGAAAAACTGACAAGTTGAAGTTTAAAAACTTTTGCCCGAAAATGGGAAACTTTTTTCAGGAAAAAGTTTCGCCCCTCTGTGGCTTCATCAGTCCAAAACAAAGGGAAGGGGTTGGGGGGAGGAAAAATGAGGGAAAACAGTCCCCCAGCCCGGAGTTTAAGGGTTTTTAGTCCATTCTTTCAAAATTGTTGGGGCTGAAACATCGAATCCCGGGCTGAGGGACTGATTTCCTTTTAAATTTTTCCCTTATTGGGACCTTCCTCTTTTTTATTGGGGTAGAAGCCACTGTGTGGGCAAAACGTTTCCTGAATTTAAAAAAATTTCCCCCTGGAAAAAGTGTCTCAATTTCAAGAATGGGGTTTTTTTCTTTGCCTGTTTGGGTTTTATCATTATATCATCAGCTTTGTTTTAAACTTAAAGTTTGGTGAGGCAGGTAGGCATTTAGGAGAGATTAAACAGAAAATTAAATGCTTGGGGCCCAAGAAAATCCCTACGGGGGTACCTAAAGGGCATTTCTTTTGAATCACTTTGAAGCCTTGGTTAAAAGGGCAGATGATACTCTATTTGACCGGTATCCTATTATCCAGCAGAGTAAGTACCCCCCAAAATTTTATTTTGGCTAGTTTCCCTGTTGTTTAAAGGTTTGTTGCAATATCAAGTGCAGATTTTTTGATCAAAAAAAGTGGTTTTTTTAAAATAGTAGAGGTGTGGCCCGTGGAAAGGTGGAAATTTCAGTTCTGCAAAATTTTACCTTTTAGAACCCATAGAGGGAAGGGGGGGAAAAAATTTATGTCTATTTTTGTAGTAAAAGTTGTTAAGTTTTCTTTTTTTCAAAAATTTTACAAAAACAACTGTTAAGGAGATCGGGCCCAATGTATCAGGGGTGTTGGGGGTTTGGGTAGGAAAAATGAGATATTGGTCCCGGGGAAGTAGGAAAAACGCCCCAATGTAAATGAGGGGTTAAACGTGCCAACAAAGGGTTTTTCCGGGAGTGCCTTAGGGAATTTTGAGAATTCATAGGTTATACCATCCTCTCCAGGGAGCAGTTGAAACCTTTTGTTAATGCATTATCTAATTCATATCCCGGGAAAAAAAAGGCAATCATCTCTTTAATATTTTTGGTCATAAAAATTTAAACAGT